CTAGCATCTAGCATCTGCATGTGTATGTGCAAGTCTGTGTTTCAGGTAAACCAAATTTGCTCCTCTGCAAGAGCACTTAACCACTGAGCTATCTGTAGCCACCATAATGCTTTACAGGGTAGAAAATCAAAGTATTTCTTTATAGCTACCCTTATTCTGAAAATGAAACTTAACTCAAGGTCACCCGACCCCTTCACACTTCTGTATCTTTTCATTCTTCCTTTGCTCTCCCTCCTGTAATTCCAGCACTCCTGAGGCTGAAACAGGAGGATTGCCAAGATTGCCACACATTTGGGGTCACCCTGGGCTACAGAGTGAGACCCTGCACACAGACACACTTCCATTCCGGCTTGCATAATGTATGTGGGTGCACTTAGTACCTACTTGCCTGTGTATGGTAGAACTATTTGTAAAGATAGACACTACTCAAGCAAGACATGTTGCACTTGTGAATATAATTCAAGATCTTGTTTATTTCCCTTACTCGAGTTGTGACTCCCAGTATATTAGGACTACCTCAGTGCCTTCTGTCTTCATGAAGTGCCTTCTGCCTTTATGAAGCCTGGTGACTGCCCAGAAAGCAAGGTCTCCCCACACTAGTAGAACCTCCATTGCACAAAATAACTTTCAGAAGTGGATGGAAATGAGCCACTTGGGGAATCTTCTCCAGTTCCTTTCAGTTAGGAACCATATTGCTACTTGTAGTTACTACTCCATTGAGTCATGTAGTTAAGTCCTCCCATAGGATTTCTTTGGGGACTCTGGTAGCAGTATGAGGCCCCCTGCTGGTCAGAATTAATTCATGCATTTGCTTTTCGATCATTTTGAAGGGCTGGAGGCTCAGCTGAAGAACGGGACCATTTCTGCCTTTGCCATGGAGCTAGGAATATGGGGTGACCTATTCTTGTGGAAGTTGAAAATCAAAATATTTTCTTTCAAGATATAAGAACAGGCTGTAATTCTGGATAAACCACCCGCTTTTCCTTCTGGAATTTGTTTAACACCTCACTTGAGTATATGTTCAGTTTCTTCACTGTACCAAATAATGCAGTAGCCAGCACACTGGAACCAGCAAACAGTTCATTCCTAAAGCTATGTCTAAGGTTTGGAAGGGACAAATAAACATCTATGTCACCCACGTGATTAAAAACTGAAAGGTGCCACAAACAGTAAGAAACAATGGCTGATGAAAGAGTAGGTGGGTTCACATAGAACAAGGCTTCCAGGAGGAGGTAGCTTTGGAGTCAGAGTGCTGATGAGAAGCAGGATTTGGGTAGCCTGAGATGGAAGGAAGGCTGGGGAAGGATGGTATTATCATTATAAGGGAGAGAAAAGTCAGGGCAGACACGGAAGTAGGAAAACCAGAGCCTAATGCAGGGTGCTGGAATCTAGTCAGTCTGACTCATAGGGAGGGTTATTGGATTGGAGGTGAAGGATGAGATATGTCTAGAGCAGCCTGGAGAAGCTTCAACATTCCCTGGGAAATTTCTTCATAAAGCAAGAACTTCTAACTGTCTTCATAAAGTTGAACTTCTAACTGTCTTTGATTTAAAACAACAACAACAACAAAACATATCAAGGCACAGCAGTAACTGCCCTGCAATGAGCGGTGTTCAGTCACTTGCAATTGGTTGTGAGAAGCCTTAAAGTGTTTCTAGATATGAAGGCAGGCAAGGACTGGGGAGTAGCCAGTGCCAGATGGCTCCTGGCAGGCTTAATGAAGTCCCTTAATAGAATCCCATCCAAGGAATATGACACATTGGGTCCCCCACCCACAGGCTCTGCAAAATTTAAGGCTTCGTGTCTTGCTATCTTCTCACTGCACTGGGATTGAGCGAGGTTTAAGCAACAATGATGAGGAATGATTCTGGAGTAATGGGGAAGATATGGGCTAGCTCAGAACCACAGAAAAAAATTTCTAACACTAACCTTATTTGTGTAGTATTATGGCCAACTAGATATGCAATCTGCATTAACTTATGACTGAATTAACAAAAAGTATAATGCACCTTTAATAGAACATTGTTAAATTTCTGACCTCAGACACTGATTTCCCACTGGCATTTTTAGAAACCCTTTAGAACATATTAAGTGTTACTGAGCATATTGAATCATAAGATGAAAATACAATTTTCCAGAAGAAGAAATGACCTCTTCAGTTGAGAAACACACAGCTACGACTTTGCAAATAGGGGAGATGGGAATTTTGGAATAGCAACAAAAATAATAAGGACAGGGGCTAGAGAGATGGCACAGGGGTTAAGAGCATGCACTGTTCTTGCAGGGGACCCACGTTCTGTTCCCAGCACTCATGTGAGGCAGCTTAGAATCACCTGTAACTCAAGCTCTTGGAGATCAGACGCCCTCCTCTGGACTCCAATGGCACCTGCACTCGCATGCACAAACCCCAACACAGACTCACACGGTTATACATAATTCAAATAAAAAATCTTAAAACAATAAGGACAGCAGAAACAACCACTTAAGTTTTAGCAGCCATGAGTATTTATTATTTTGAGTGAAATGCACATTAAACTTTTGTATAAAAACCGTCAAAGGTGCTATATTCGATTACTTCAGTATTAATTTACCCCCCATGCCATTTGTGTTATCTTCTACCTTCCTGTTTTCTTCAGACATTACAATTATAATCATCTAAAATTGCCCATTGTTAAAATATAAAAAAATATTAGTCTATTCTTCAAGATAAAGTACCACTAGTGATGAGTTACTCAGAGTGAAAATCTTTTTTTTTTTAAAGGAGGCCAGAGAATCAACTTATTGGAAGAAAAAAATATATAATAGAATTTTTTAGGTGCATGAAAATGCCAAGCCAGTGTAGGCCTTTGGTGGAACACTTTTATAACACCACTTTCCAGAGTGTGGACTATTTCCAGTGTTCTTGTCATCTGTCCATCAACTCTAGGATACTCTCTAAGATTAACCAAATATTATTTAGTGTTGTGTGTAGCCCACGCTCCACAAATGCTTAAGGTGAAAAGAAAGCTGAATCTTTTGTCTTACAGATAGCCCTTAGGATTAAGTTTGTCATTAAAGTTGGTATTCCCTACAAAGGGGAACTGTCTTGACCCCTAATTTTCAGTCCTCTCTATGTCCCATTTTCATTTTGGTAGTCCATCCCACAGTTCAGTCCCTTCCCTCCTGGGCTGGTTCCTATGAAGGAACTCAACAAGTCCGAGTTGAGCATTAGCATGGAATTTCCCATTTGGTCTCAGTCAGCCTTATGCAAACAAGCTTCTCTGATTTACCACCAGAGCTGTCTGACTCTCCCGTCTCTTAACTTTCTTATTCCTTTGCCTCACCTTCCAGCACAAGGCGCTGGAGGCTAATAAAAAAAGTCCAGAGGACAGAAGGACCAGGCCGAAGATGGAGATGATGGAACCATGAGAATTGAAGCTGTAAGCCACAGCAGTGACCACGATCCCGGCGATGAAGACCACCACAGCAAAGGGGATGATGCAGCGGTAGCAGGAGAGTTCGGCGCCCCCTGTGGCGGCCATCAGCTGAACCTCACTGACCAAGGGGACAGTGGTGATCACAACTTCACTCTTAGGGCTTTTCTCCATTATCACGGGCGTGGGAGACTTTGGGGATCCCAGGTTGTCTTTTATGGGTTCTTCAGTCATTTTTTCTGGGGATGTGTCCTACCTGTCTTCACAGACTAGACTTGGAAAGCCTGGCCAAGGCAGAAGCTGTGAAGAAGAAGGCAGGGGACATCAGCTAAGTGACCAGGACTGGATGCAATGGAAGGAGGAAGCACAGAGGCACCTCCTGTCCCAGGACACACAAGAGCCCAGCCTCACTTATTTGCTTTCCCCATATATCGCATTCTTTTACACCGGGCCAAAGGGAAGCAGCTATGCACAAAAGAGGCAGAGAGAGACGAAACGCAGGAAGCACTCTGCACTATTTCATATTTCTTAGTGGTCTACAAATAATCCTCTAGAACCTTTCTTCTTTGCCTATTGCCTTTATTTTCTCTGAATTCTGAAAAGACTGAATCCTAATCCAAAGATGGCTCATTCAAGGGGAGAAAACGCTATAAACAGTCCCACAACTCACAGCAACTTGAACTCTGCCCATTTTTGCCAGGCATGACACGCATTCTTTCCAAGCTATCATCCATTCACTGCTAGTGAAATCAACTTCATGACAAACAGCAAGTGCACAAATAGCATGCTTCTCTATCAACCCACAGGTCTGTGAAGCAAGGTGCACGGCCAAGTGTGTGCTTGGGACCTTTCCAGCCCCACCCCACCCCAACTCTCACCCTACCTCCACCACTACCACTCAGCTCCAAGACAGATATTCAGTTTAGAAATCACAATTAGGTTCCAACCACTTCAGGACTTAGGATCAGAATATGGCACTATCCCTTACCCATCTAAATAGGGGGAAACAAGAAAAAGAAATTCTGGCCATTTTTTTTTCAGATACAATTTTTTTTCTTTCCCAATACTTAAGACAAAATTAACTGTTAACTATTAGAGTAACTAACTAGCTGTCATTTTCAAACTTTCTATGAAAAGCAACAAGGAATTTTGATATTTTGTATTTTATAAGATGCTTATACAAATAAGCATAGTCACAAAAAACATCTTCAATGTCGTTCTACGTAAAACTTGTCCCTTCCTAGGTGCTTTGAACTTGAAGGTTTTAGTACAAAACTCAAGATCAAAAAAACATCTCGTTGAAATCCCTGTCTGAGAAACCAGGAAGAAAGTCTGGTTGAAGCTCAGACGTGTTGGGTCACCCACTTGCAACCTTGAGAGACTGAAAAGTTGCAAGATTTGTGGGACATTGGAGACCCTTTTGATGGTATTAATCCTTTGACTGAATTAAGCCTTGGTTGAAAATAAACACTACCTTGAATCAGAGCTTCTTCATTCTTCCTACTCCTGGGAGGTCAAAATATCACTCACCAAGCAGGGAAAGTTAGAGCGCTCTACCTGATGTAACTTGTATATAATTCAATCATCAACCCATGAACTGCTAATGTTCAATGACACCCGAAAATTATACCGGCTAGGTCAGTTAAAGGATATTTGACATTTTATCTGAAAAAAAAATCTCCCTCTCCACAAAGCTGAGATTGTCATAATTAAAAAAGCAAGATCTGTCCCCTGATTAACACATACCTCACGGAAAGGCAGTCCATTGCCAGGGAAGCCACTTGACTTGGGAAAGAAGGACCCACCAGAGTGTCTTCAGCTTCTAGGGAAGAGCCTGTCACCCACTGGGCATTGGTAGAAGGACAGGTCAGGGACTGCCTCTGGGGGACAGAAAAGACATAACAACACTGAACTATAGATTAGGTTTTGAATGCTGGGGCTCTCCTTTCATGCCACCCCTAGTCTTAAGTGCCGCTTGTCTCTCCCTCCCCCTCTCATTTTAGTCCCTCCTCCTCTGGTCTGCCCCTCCCTGTCATTTTTTTTTCTTCCTTGTTTTCCTTGCCAGCAGACTCTGAGTTTTGGCTTGCCCCAACTCTGCTCGGTGACATGGTAATTCGGGATCATCACTTCAGAGTCCCCAGAGACAGGAGCCAGTGTGGACTTTTATTTCTCTCTCAGCGTTTACTAAGCGGGCTGCTTTCAATTACTCATTTTTTCCCCAGCCAAACTCCAGATCTTCCTCTGCCTGCCCATCAGGCATTTTCATAAGTGGATCCAAGAGAATCCCAGCGTCAGCATTGCAGACCCAGCTGAGGGACAGTTGGGGGGACAGTCGTTCCCTGGAGGCAGGAACAGCTGTGGAGTTTTCAAGCAACAGAACCCAGCCCCTAGGCCAGCAGAAATCCAAGCTCCTAGCTCTCCCAGTATTTTTACTTATATATGTGTGAGATGGCCAAGAGAAACTTGAACATCCTCCCCTTGTTTGATGTTCCCTTGTTTACAGGGGAAGGTGGGGAATACTGTGTTTTTGGTTAAGCTGGGAAACGCTGGCTATCTTAATTTAAACTGGATTGCTTACTACTTGTGCTAGGAGATGAGTAGCTTTGATAAACCTGAAATCACCACTATTGTCATCATCAACATTGCTGCTATGGACAGAGTGCCTACTATGGGTGTGGCCCAACATCAAGGACTGCCACACATTAGCTGATTCTCATTCACTTGTAAATGAAGTTCAAAGAGATAAAGAAATACAACAAAGTTCACAAAGAAACAAATGCTTGCTTTGGAGCCTGGTCACATTTTATTTCTCACGGGATAGAGCCCAGAGCCTCATACATAATAGGCAAGTAAGTATTCTATCTGAGCTATATTCCCAGTTCACCCTGTCTCAGTTTCGAGGTCAGTAGCTAGAGTTACAGACCTTCACAGCCAGGCCCACTGGACCTCAGTTACGAATGGGTACAAGCTCACTAACAGAGCTTGTTAAATGTAGACCCTGAATAAGAAGGTCCATAACTATCTTTCGGCCTGTGTCAAGCCTGCTGTTCCTTGGCCCATTTTAATCAGCAATATTCAAACACACACACACACACATCTGGCACACCATTCTCTCAAATAATAAGCTCAAGGTTGTGTCCCACCCTCGTCAACAGCTGATGTGCTTATGCTTCTTGCAGACAAGCTACTGGGAGTTGTAAAGTGTCTGAAAAGCTTAAAGCCTGAGGCGAAAAAAGATCAATGACGATACTAGGGAACTATGATAAGACTGTTTTTCTAAATGTTATCCACTCACAATTTCTTTAATCTGTGAAAGTATTACTAAGTGCTGGTACAATTTACACATTCACGTTGATCCTGGAATAGTTCTGTTTGCCCAGCTGTGGGATGCTCAGCTCTCTTTAGCCACTGATCTGGATCCTCTTAGACACCCTACCTCCTCTAGCTCCCACCTTTTCAGCCCAGTCTATGAACAATGACACAGATACCAGAAGTCCTTTCTTCTCAGATGTTAGCCAGAGCAAGGGGCTTCTTCATTTGGATTGATCACACTGAGAAGTGCCTGAGACTTTGCTGAGGCTGAGGGCTCCAGCATGCTGGGGGGGGGGGGGCAGATAGCAGGTACCAGCAGGCCTATTGGAGGCCTGAACTGCTACCATCCTCACAGTTTTCAATGGAGAAATGGAGTCTTGGGCATATCTGGAACCAGGGCATTTCAGAAGATGGTGACCTGGGCTACATCAAGTGAAAGCTCTCAAAGAGAATGTCTTTCTACCTGAGATTGCCCATCTCTGGGGCAAGTCCTCCTCAATTCCTAGCACAGACGATTTTCTGTAAATCAAACAAATCCCCAGGAACCCCAAGGAAGCTCTGCCACCATCCTACCCTCCCATAGACTGTTATTCCTTGCTTCTTAAGCCAAGGGTAAAGAAAGGGATCTCTGGAGAGGAGAGAGACATCCTTCCCCATAATGAGTCCTGGGCTGAGCCAGTCAGGAGAGACAGTGAACAGAGGTGGACACCGGAATGGAAGACCACAGGTTTGTTGCTACTTCTAATACTGAACCTTCAGCCTTCTCATGGCTTTAGCTGTGCTTCGTGCCACTCTCCCAACACACTGTGTAGGCATCCATCTGGGTATGAAGACACCAGTCTCCAAACTCAAACAACTCCTGATTTGCACTGGGAAATTCGAAGAAATAGAAAGCTTAGGAATTAAGCAGAATTCGTGCCAGAAAAGATAGCCACCAAGGCAACCAGGGACACCGGCAGCTTTTATCAACTTTACCCTCTCAACTAGATATTAAAAAAGAATCCACGGAGATGCGTGCAAAATGCTTTTGGTATTAAGCTCCCCCGGGAAATCGCCTGAGGGACACCTGGCCCCACATGCAAAATCTCAGCACAATGCATCCAGCCTTTTTTTTTTTTTTTTTTTCTGCAAAGCCTCTACGTGCAAAAAGGGGAGGAAATCTCTCCGGTTCTTTGGTTCTTTTTAGAGCGCAAGGCTTTGGGAAGAGTCTAAAGTTTGGAAAACTTTTCTGAAGGCTTCCCGATGCACGAATGATAACAGTCCTCCCACCGCGAACCCCGGCAGGCATTTTACAATTCTCTCCGAGATCTTTCAAAGAGCAAAGAAACAGAGCCTTACCTTTCTCAGCCAGAATCCGACTGAGACAGCTGCTAAAGGCAACCAACAAGCAAGGCCGACAGCGGGATGCAAATCACCACGCTAGGGACCGTGCACAAAGTACTCAGCGAGGCTTACAGACCATTAAGGGACCGGAGACAATTTGGTGAGAGGAAATTCCTTATGTGCTGTTGTATTTTACTCTATGTTTTCCTCCATGCCAACACCATCCATTGTAATTGAAGGCGTGAATCCATAGTAATCCAATTATTTAAAAGGACACTAAGAACCTCCTCTGCTTTGTTTTTCTTGTTTTAAATTCTTATGCAAACATTCATTTTCAAGGTATTTTTTGTTCTCTAACCAAGATTATCTTTTTGATATTACTGCTTTGTAATATCATGAAGTTGCAGGAAAAAAAATGTCTCTGTGGTCTTCTATATTAGTGGTGGAGGGTTGGGGAGGGTGAAGGGGTGGAGGGGTTGGGAGTGGGTGAGTGCAGTCCTTTGGAGAGGTTTGGGAACATAGAGTGGGATCCTCTGCAGATCTCTGTCACCAGCATATTTCAAGTGATAAGAGTGGGGAAGAGATAATGACTGTGGTGA